CTGCAATACACAGAGGTGTCTTCCCATCCTAGGAGGTATCTTTCCATATTGTTTTATTTATGCCTCTTCCTCATGGTGAAGGATGAAGAGCAAAAGAGAAGGCAGTCACAGGCTACAATGCTCTGAGGCCTGTTCTGGCCACTACAGCAGTCAGTGGGAATTGAGAAGTCTTGGCTATTCTGAGTGCTTTATTCCAGCCTCAATGTCCTTAGCTGGATTTCCTCTGATGTTAGGGACTAGGCCTGTTGCCAATTTCACAGAGTGAAAAGGATCTTTTCCATATGGTGCATTTAACAACTGCTGTGTGGGTTTTTTCACCTCCTACCAAGCCTCCATGATGGTTGGCTTTGGGAAGCTAGAGTTGCATCAGTAACAACTTCTGGAAGTTTCTTTAATGCAATTTTGCATCTGAAAGAGAGACAAGGGAACCCAGGTAGCTTCTCTGCATTGCTGGGCACTTACGTGATATGTAGAGCAGGCTCCTGGGCAGCACAGTTTGTTTCTCCTTTACCTTGTCCATTCTAGTTTATGTGGAAAACCACTTGGACTTCCACTAGGGTTCTCTGACAGGTCTGGGAATTTCTGCGGGTTGCTATTGCTACGAGGTAAGGGCCAAAGAGAAACAGCCCTTCCAGGTTCTTTAGAAACATACGCCTGCAAGTCTGTGGGTGTTGCGGCTTCCATTTTTAAACTTAATATGTCTGTGATTCATCATGTGCCTGCACACGTGAGCAGGTATTCGGAACAGAAAACGTTTTCCTTTCCATGGAAAAGCAAAGCCATCTACATCAGCCCTAGCAAAGCAAGCCTATATGGAGAGCAGCTAGCTGACAATTTGGTCTCCCTTTATTCTGAACGTGACTTCTACAAAGAAGCTGAAGGTTATGCCTCTCACTTTATCTAACTACATATGTTCCAAATGTTACCCTAAATTCTCAAATATTCCAAATTTGAAACCTAAATGTTAAAATGAACTAATACACCTTTCATATCCTGTACAAGTCACATGTGACCAGTAACGCAAAATATAAATACTATGTATACTACACACAACATCCCATAGGCCTTTGAACACTCATCGAAAGTAAAGGCTCTATCTATGACTGCAAAAACGCACAAAGTATTCCTAAATACATTTGTGAAAGCCAAGTTCAGCTTGCTCTTCACCATAAAGCTGTGAAGTCTACAACTCCCAATATATCCCCCCCAATATTTACAGCTAAAGCCTTTTTTAAATCATAAATGAAACTCACAACAATGAATAAAATTATTTCATTTTCAGATATATTGGTTAATTCCTTCTGGAAAACATATTAGAAGATACATTGTTAATACAGAATTAGAGGGAAAAAGTTTATGTAAACATACAAAAGTTCCCAGTTTACAGCCAGAATTAGTTATTAAAAACTGAGCTGGTGTTACATGTAAGCTGGGTATGTAGGACACCACTTCACGGATCACTTCAGCAAACTAATCAAGCCTCTCCAGGTAGACCACCCACTATTCCTGTAGCAAGTCTATTTCTATCCAACTTGTAACTTCAGAAATCCTTGTGAACACTGCATTTTTCTACCCAAAAGGTTCTTGACAGGAGCAAGGCCCTCCCATAGGCCTGCTCAGCTGTGTTTGTCTTGCTCTTTAACCCTCTCACTTCCTCTTGTTCGCACAGAATAGAATTAAAACAAAGTTTGGTTTGCTAGGCTACATTAAGAAAAAATAAAAGCACTGGCTGCCCTATTTCACACCTCTATAGCCGAAGAAACTGCAAAATAATAATAAAAAAAGCTGCTGACACCATTCTAGGAGGGTGGGTTTTTTTTTTTTTTTTTTTTTTTTTTAAATTGTGCTACAAAGAAGTCAGTTACCAGCCTGGGCTCCGGCGAGCTGTGTTGTCCTCGCGCTCTCCCTAGCACAGTCACTCCTGACAGGTGTTCCTGGGACATTCAGAACAAAATGTGGAACAAAAATATATCTTAAACGCTTTCAGTCTTCAAAAGTTGCTCTGTGCTGAGCAACTGCCACCAACACTGTCACCAACACCCTGCAGGCCACGTGCAGCACCGCAGACATCAGCAAGGTGAGATTCTTCCACTTAGCTTTGGAGTCCAAGAGTACTTAATCATCCCAGTGAAAAAGGCTTCTCAATTCAACACATCATGACCCTGGTGTCTGAATTCCAGAATCGATTCCCCAGCTGACAATCTGGTGTCCTATGTGAGCTCCTTAGCAGCACTCATTTGTGCTCAGTAAGGAGGCCTAATAGATGCTTGTAAGATTTCAGTGTATGAACTGCAGCAATACTGAAAAATACTCACTTTAGTATCTTTTTCCAAAAGCTGTTGTTCCTTGCATTCCATATATCATCTGCTTGTTTGTGATGGGCTCCTGTCAGCCCTGTAGTGATTGACATTTTCCCTGCAACATATTTTGCTTCATTAAGTTCCACTTCAAAGCTCTTCTTCCGTAGGCTCAGTTATGGTAAGCAAAAGGTTTTTATGAGAAACAGCAGCAATTTGCGTGTTTTCTTTTCTTTTCTTTTCTGATGCAACAAATGCTAACACCAACATACCCTACCTCTCTGCAGTCTCCAGAAACGGTCTCTCTCATGATCGTTGGCTACACTGTACACAACTACCTGACTTTTATCAGTAAGTATCACTAGTGATTTTCCTCAAAACTAGTGTTTGAATTTCAATCTGAAAATTCTCATTCTTAATTGTTTTCTTTCACTTTTTATAGTGCTTGATAAACAACGTTTTCTATCTGAGGAGGATGTGACATTTGCTTGTATGATATCAACTTTATTCTAATAAAACAAATGATACACTCATACTACAATTAGCATTGTGAAATCAATAAAATAATTGTTCCCTTTGCTGTCAAATTTTCAGTCTTTACTACCAAAAAGTAGAAAAAGCTAATACAAGCGTAAAATGATAAATCCTGTGGTATCAGATGCTACATGTGGAAATATAAGAGAAGAATGCAGACGCTTAGCAGACTCTCATCAAAAGCACTTAGTTAACCACATTAGGAACAAGTTTGGCTATCAAAGGGGCAAGTTGATATGAAAAGTAAAGCTAGGACATCTGTGAAACTAAAAAGGAGACCACAGACACAAACAGATCTGTTTCTTTTGGATTTTCACAGCTCTCCAACTGAATGAATAAAATTGGCATATACTAACAATAAAAAATAATAAAACACCCCAAAACAAATCAGCTATGATTTTCACGATCCTTTACAAACCTACAAAATCCAGACCCTAGCTCTGTTTTCTCCTGTGCCTGGGCCCCTAAAAATATTTAATTCCCCTCAGCTGGCATTGATGCTGGCTCCAGAGTTTGTGCTGGGGGCAGCTTTTGCCCCAGCCTGCTTGATGTGGATTCTCCAATGAGAGTTGAAGGCAGAAGCTAGGAGAGGAAAAGACTGGAAAAGACACATGGAGAAAACGACAAACAAGAAACCAGAGCCAGAAAAGCCAGAGAATCAGGCAGCCCTCTGCCCTTCCTCACGTAGTCATGAAGACTGTGCTTGCACTAGGGGATGCTGGTTCCTGATCTACAGCAATCTACAGTGTCATGGCTATGTGACATTATCCACTGAGCTATGCCAGCTGGTCCTCTTTTGCATAAGCCCTTGCAAGATTTAGTTTAAATCCTAGGCTCCACTGTGGGAATTTTGCAGTTCCTTTTGTATTATAGCTCACTTCTTCCTAATGGTAAGTGACAGGATGCTGGTATGGAATTATTCTGGTAAACTAGCTATTTTGCTAATATTTTTTCTGGCTATTAAAAAGAAATACTTGTATTACAGAGCAAGAGCAATTATATATCAATTTTGATTTGTTTTTAATATTTACCATAGCAAGATAAGTTTCTGTCTTGTAATCTATTTTGTGTCCTCTTTTTTGGTTTGCTTTCATCTCAGTGGAAAATGCCATTCCTTGCTTCTCAATTAAGTTCACCCAGACATTTCTCAAAAAGTATTTTTGTTTTAGGTTGCTTTTTTTGTTTGTTTTGTGTTAGGTTCACACTTTCACCTGATATGAAGCTCAGTCACAGGTAATAACGTGACTCAAACCTCAGAAAAGAAACACACAATCGATGAACAGCAAACTGGGATATTAAATATACCTTTAACTTTTTGTACCAATGCAAGCTGTTTAAACAAGTTTTATAATTTTTTATACCTGCAGATACAAACATTTAAACTCCAAGTATGAGGGAAAAAATCTGATTATGTTTATAACATAAAACATTCAGGAAAGTTCGCTTATTTTCCTTTGTGTTGAACCATGGAAGTAAAACTTCAAGACAGAAGCTATCTAGACTTTGGGATTTCTGGCTCTATTCATTGAGATCATGATTCAGGAGAAACTTTTACTCTCTACCTAGATCATCTTATTCACTAGAACAGTGGCTGAAATCCACCTATGCCAGCTAGCTCGTATCTTTGCTCCCAGCTGTCATTATTACCTTCTAGACAGATACTCCTCACAGCCAAGCAGGCTCCAACAAAACCATATCCTTGCAGTGAATTTTAGCAGGCACCATTTCTTCACTTTTGAAGCAAAAAATCATTTAAAAAAATCGGAATAATTTGCATTTGGATTAAAAATGAAAAGAAGAAAGAGTCCTTTTATAGTTAAATTCAATTTGCAATAGAAATTAATATTTTAAGTTACATCCTTAAATGCAATCTCAAGTACAAAATTATTCACAGAAAAACTTATAAGCATCCATTCTGGGATGCTTCTTTCTTTAATACTGTCTGTTTGAATTTAAAGATGAGCCCAAACAAAGAAACAATGAGGTTCTGTTCGCATGGTTTCTATGTAACAGTCCTATCACAGAATTTGCTGTCATAAAGATGGGCTCTTCAGATATGCAAAAACATGCTCTTATGCCAATAAATAAACTAGGATTCTATTTTTACAAATCTTAAAACGGGTAATTTTAAATCTTTATATTTCATCTTTATGATTGATTAGTACTTACGTGGTTTGGAAAATCAGCTTTCAATTCAGCAATACTTTTACACCAATACGCTGCTGTTTTCTCGCTGATCAGCTCAATGTTTAGAAAAGAGCCTTGGCCTGGGCCATATATTGGACCTGAAGTAATTCCACGCACAATCCTCGGAGAAACATTGGTCACAATATCCTGAAAAACAATGAAACCTTTCAGATTGATTTGGTAATCAGTGAGGTCTATGAACGTAACATAAACGTAGCTGTATCAGAGCTTTTAAAAATGTACTATTATTTTGAGTAAAAACTCGGATGATAGTAGCTGATCAGTACGGAAGAAAGGAAACCCAAGTGCTTCCACACGCTGGGCAGTGTTGCTTACACAGGGCATTGCACAGCAGGCAGAAAGGTTTCTCTTCTCTCTCTGGTTGGGTACAACGAGCCCAAGTGGAAAGTTCTACAAACTTCGTGTTTTCAGCATTACTGTACCCTGCAAACATGCAAAACTATAACAACACAGTAGGTAAGGCCAGTGCTCTAGATTAGCAGAGTGTCTAATTATATCTTCTAAACCAGAGAAGAAAAACGTTTGGTTTTTGTGTAAAGCAGTATGATAAGCTATTTCAGCTACCAAGAAAATGCCAATATATGATGTCTACCAAGCAATTGGCATTCCAAATATCATTCAAATAATACGTCTATGTTGGACAGAAAAGGCCCACAAGTCCTGTGGAGATGCCTGCGTCGGCCTCAGCTGTGTAGGAGCGTATCTGCAAACTCACACAAATGAGATAAAAGTCTCTGTCCTACACAAACAGGTCCAATGCAAAGAGGTGCTGCCCACCAGCCTCCCCAGTGCAAACTCAGAATCACAGGTCCGCTAGCAAAGGCATACAAGTGTATGCAACTTCAGGAATGTAATTACAAGATGAAAACAAAAATCAAAAATTAAACTCCCCAAATAATTAAAATTCAGATCAATGTTGTAAAACATACATTTCCTAAGGTCACTGTAAGGTTAGCAAACAATTTTGAAGCAGACAGTAAACACACAAAATGTTGACTTGTTTAGTAGTCTTAATTAAGCTACAATGTCACCATAACTATATTAACAAAGAACTGTAAATTCTGACATCATTTAAGACTAAAGGGAAACATAAATGGTAAAATGTTTCTTTTGCCAATTTCCAATTAAAAATAATTTTGAGTAAAGGTCATTTAGTTACAAATGTATTGGAATTATTTGTTTAACTACCCCTCCTCACCATCTTGTCATTTTTAGTGAGATAACATGAACCTCCATTAGTATATAGCAATTAAGGTCAATTTACATATTTTAATTAAGAACCATCCCATATAAAACAATTAGGGTAATAGGCATACTAACTGGATTTCATAACATTTGGACGTTTTTCCAACGAGATAGACAGGAAACCTTAATTAGCATTAATTAGCACTGATCTGCATATGTTTGATAAGGCATACCCTTGCCACAAAAGATTATTTATTCCCGAATCTGCCAAAAGCTACAGTTTCAAAGGATAAAGGACTTTTCTTCCCATTGTATGTAAATTTGGGGTAATCTTCAATTGTTTATGAAGTTGAATTGCTTATTATACAGTAAATATGTGCTAATATTTTATAGTGATAGATTATTATACGCTCATTTACATATGTAGAAATCATACAAAGTAATCTCCCCCTGTTAATCTATTTTCTGGCCTAATAATAATTCTGGAATCTTGGATGCCACAATAATCCTTAATTTTCCTCTTAAACTATTTTCCCTTCCTCACTAAAGCATCATCTCCCGCTCATCCACATGGTATATTTTCACAAAATATAAATCAGGATATTTTCTGAGTTGCATTTGAATTGATGCAAACCAAAACCACAAACAGCAAAGCACACCCCCCTCCTCATGCCCACAACACATTACAGCAAGAGCAGTTTTAGGTAGAAGAACCTTTTACGGACGTCAGCTCTGTCATGGCACTAGGCCTAAGCTAATGGCCTGTCCGCTGGTGGTAATTATTAGTTGCAGGATCAGTGTCGATTAGCACACGTGACAATCTCCATTTTGTGGCTGGCTTACAGATGCTGTGCCAAATACTGCCTGCAGCCATCTATGATTCTGCTTGTTGCCTTACTACAGGCCTGTTCTGTTCTCCCTCCAGTCTCTTCTTTCTACAAAGTTAAGTACTGCCATATTCCAGGATGGAACATCCCTCTTGTGGGATGCTCACAAAGGCTTGGTGTGCTTCCCTGTGAAAGTGTCCTGGATTTTCCAGTGCTGGCCTTGGATCTACAGGCCTTCTCTCTCCACCGAAAGAGAGAAGATGCTCTAGGCCCATGATAGCTGCCCCACAGCGCTGGCTCTCCCCATTCTAGCATGCAGCCATGCAGCGCCTGCATGGCAGCTCCCCTGGGGTACCCACCTCGCAACGAGGGGCCTGAGCAACCGCACACACTCGCACATGGCTCTAAACCTGCCGCTCCTTCCAGTAACCACCACGCTCTCCGTCCTCACCACACCTCTTCCGAGGAGCTCGGTGGCTTTGATACCCAAACACTGCTCCCTGCCTCCTTTGCTTAGATCCCCGAGAGGAATATGCCATCCTTGTTTAAGATCCCATTGCTTGGTTGACTCTCCTCAATTGGAGTGGACCAGATGCAAAACCCACAGTGAGGGGCACTCAGGCCCCTCTCCCTGCTCTGTTAGCATGCAACATCCCCAGGATACAAGGAGACCCACAGATCAGGGAAATAAAACAGGATTTGTAGCTTAGGTTACAATCCAACGTATCCATCCATACATCCAAACATCTTCCAGTATTTTGTTCAAATACTTGCTTTTTTTCCCCCTTTGTGGCCAAATGCTGGCATCCATGCCTTCCCCTCTCCACCCCTCAAAACTTCAGCAGAAAACGAATTTATATCAACTATTCATACAGAATAGTGTACAGAAACACTGACTAAAAAACAATGGCAAAGACAACATAATGACCCACAGAAAAATAAATTTGTTTCCTCTGAAAACCTTGCAAACTACTGTACACCCCAGGATTAGGGAAACTATTTTCCATTGTAGATTCCAGCAAAATGACCTAGGACTAGGTGAGTCAAGGCAAGGCAACAGAATCACGCACAGCACCTCACTACAAATAGAATCAAGGACTAGTTGTGAATCACCAACATTTCAGTTACCAAACACACTGTTTGCCTCAAAAAAATGATTCATTTCCGCAGCAGAGCACATCAGAAACCACCACCTCAAACCCTCAAGTCTTTCCAGCTCAGGCCATCACGTCAGAACATTGAGTTACGCAGGCAGAGAACATGGCGCCGCAGAGAACATGGCGGACACCGGCAATATCCTGCCCACTTACCTGCTTAGGTACAAATACAGAATTCTGGTAACTCGAGACTGTTAATTTGCATTAAACATTTCTTTTCTTGTTGATTAATTAAAACATTGGAAAAAAAAAGGCCCAAGGCATTGATCAAGCCCCACTTGCTCTAACAATCTTTGAACTCTGCAATCAGATCCTTGAATTCTAAACTATCTAACTATAATGGGACGTAGGTTTTGAGACATCTTAGCATACACACCTCAAACACCCAACAGTTTTTAATAAGTCAAATAAATATTTTTAAAAAGGTGTAAATCCACATAGACCCTACTACTCACACTAAAACAAGACTTATTTCATGCAATCTAGTTTTCAATTAATAACTGCCAAAGATTTTTTTATTGTCAAGAGATAATTCTGCTGCTTAAGTTGAGAAAATAGAGCTTTATGTTTGGGCAGTAGGAGCATTTTGAGTTTTAGGGGGTACTCAGAGGGGTATCAGGTACTATCTAGTATTGCATGATACTAGATTATGTGATAAGCACGTTTATTGTGTGTTTCTGCTGAAGTGATCACCAGAGAAATGACTTACATTGTGAATATTAACATTGCCATCTGTAGGTGTGGAAGTTAATGACCCACAGAAAGGAATCAAGACATTCACCTTTTAGCCAGAGTTATTGTTCTAGGGGGATCAAGAAAACAGCTCTTCATTAACTGGGTTCACATTTTCATTTCACAATCATATATTGTAAAAACAAAACCTAAACTAAACAATTAAATGCCTATTCAATTCATATAGTTACGGTAGGGAAATACCAAGAACCAAAAGAAAAAGTCTATACTATTTTTCATACCACAGCTCCATTATTTTTCCTCTCAATTTGGTACGTTTGAAGAATTGAGGGGACCAGAGAACAAACAGGCACATGTATTTGGGATACAAAACTAAATATTAATTGTATCTCTAGCTAATAAATTAACTCCTTTAAGTATTTCATCTACAAGTAGAGATGTCCTGCAATATAAATATCTGCAGCACATTGTAGGTTTTGAATAAGATTGGGATTTTATAAATAAATATAACAACATTATACTAAGTATTAATACTTGTTTTCTTCCCTCTGAGATGCATTTAAGAGACATGGAGAACATGGATTGCAATATTGGGCCCCCAAATGAACAAAAATCACTTCAACTCTTCAAATAAAGGTTTTCCAAACTTTAGTATACAAAACCAGATAGGATTTGGTTTCTGTCCATTTCTTTTCATTAAGATCAGAAAAGAGACTTAACACAACAGGCAGATTACAAGATTTTACAAAGCTAATTTATACCTTCCTTTCTTCCACTCCACGTTTGCCCTGAGTGCAGTGTGGTTCTGCCCATTATTGCCGCTATTACTTGCTAGATAGAAGTCAGCGTGAACACTAAGGCAGCCACCACTGCTATTGTGCAGAAAAGATCTAAATACCATATTAAGCTAGTTCTACTCCAGTATCTCAAGCACAGGCACACCTACAGATACTAGTACCAGCAAAACATACCTACAGATAAAGCTAGTAAAGACAGTAAGCTTTACTGCTAGAAAAAAACATCAAGTTTTACTTTACTGTATGAAAAACAGCAGCCTTGCTAGCTGAATAACAAAATGCAGTCACTGAAAAACAAGGCATTTAAACCATTTCTGACATACTACTTTTTCTCAGATTTTCAACAATCTACTGAAAAGGTCAGAAAGATTGTGAAACCCAGTTTTATACATGAAATGCTGTTTTTAGAGCTCAGTTTCTAAATTATTTAATCAACCCCCCAGCATCTAGCTTCAGTTTTCCCTACA